AAAATATTTAAATACGCCATTTACACTTTTTGTAACCCACATGTTTACAACTGGTTCCTATACATTTGTGATATTTACTACAAATCAAAGATGGTCTAGCTGTTAATCCCAGCCTACTAAAAAAAATAACTGAAGTCTTCATGTTTGTGTTCTAAGGGATACAATCCACATGAAAGTCAAAGAGCCAAAGTGGAAAGGAGTAACGTCCCTTGACACAACAAGGGGAGATAATTATTCCTTTCCAGCTGAGCAGAGTGTAATGAAGTGACACTAAAATCACAACATCTGTGGAAACATTGGGTTCTTGTTTAAAAATATATATATCTTGATTACTGTTAACATAAAAAGTCCTGTGCAAAATGAGAACTTTTGTGAGATATTAAACTAAATTTTTAAATAATTCAATGTGGAGCCTTTGTTGTTGTTATACACATGATGAATATGAAAACATCTCAACACGTTACTATCAGAATGAATGAATACCGTGAATAGTTACTTGTTCATTAATACCTCATCACATAATCAATACAGTTAGTTAAGGATGAACAGTTTGACCAAGTTCTTGATTCAAAAATTGAAAAACTGAAGAAAACATTTTGGAATGTCAAACATACTGCCAAGACTGTATGGCAGAATTCCCAGAGGCTGTGCACTCAAATGTTTATCCCACTGAAGTGTGACAATAATTTTGATGGAATCAGTTGTACAGCACGTAAATGTCATCCAGACGACCTCACTTTACCTTTCGTGGTTACATGACGACAAAAACATATTCAAGCTGTCACTCTCCTGAACTGGTAAGCCTTGCACTGAATGGTTAAATGAGTGAGTGAGTGAGTGAGTGAGTGAGTGAGTGAGTGAGTGAGTGAGTGAGTGAGTGAGTGAGTGAGTGAGTGAGTGAGTGAGTGAGTGAGTGAGTGAGTGAGTGAGTGAGTGAGTGAGTGAGTGAGTGAGTGAGTGAGTGAGTGAGTGAGTGAGTGAGTGAGTGTGAGGTTTTACGCCACTTTAAGCAATATTCCAGCAATATCACGGCGTTGGACACTAGAAAGTGAGTATGGTTTTACGCCACTTTAAGCAATATTCCAGCAATATCACGGCGGGGGACACTAGAAATGGGCTTCACACATTGTACCCATGTGGGGAATCGAACCCGAGTCTTTGGCGTGACGAGCAGATGCTTTTAACCACTAGGCTACCCCACCGCCCCTCAAATGAAAGGTCATTCTGATACGACCTGTTAGGTGATGTCATCCAACCTATGTTGACAGCAGCAAGCACGTAAGATCTAATTTAATAAATAAGGATATGATGGCAATGTTTCTGTGCAAATATAAGCTGATTTACAAATGTTGCATAACCTGAGTTAGAACTCTTATAATCACTGCATATCTTCATGACGTTAAATGACCTTACACACAATACCATCGCTGTGAGGTAATACAGATGAGAAACGCAGACTTAATGTTAAAGTTACCTGGGATTAATAAGCACCTATGTACCATTATTCAGTGCAAATTGGCAGCACTGACCAGTAAAAATTCCAAAATGGGAATAAAAAGTTCTTATTTTGCGTAAATATGGTTATAACTAATGAGATCCTGGGTCAAGGAGTCTTGTATTAGACTGATAATAGGACCCTAAAACAAGATAAGGAGGCTTAATTTTACATGGTTGTACTGAATGCAATGTTGAAATATCTCTAAGTATGAACATATGGACAAAACTCCAATGTATCATTTTTTAATATTCAACCAATATATCATTATTTTTTAACATTTGCCTCCCAAGTAAGGTCATTTTGTATTGAACCAAAAGTAAAACCCTGCATTAATCAAAACAAACAATCATATATCTGCTCAAAAAGTGGCACACAGATATATTAATAATAATAATAATAATTCATTTATATAGCGCCTAGTATCCATCTGACTAGTTGCTCACTGGACGCTGTAATCAGAATCTGATTATTATTACCCCGGATAACCCAAGCTGCCTGTTAGGCGCTAGAAGGTTAATAGTCACATGACTTTATCCAACCGGGTACCCATTTTCTGCAATTTTGAACAAACTCACTTGTCTAAGGTGAGACCACATGTATCACATGTGCTTCGTTGTGGGACAGGACTGAAGTCCTAGAAACTCTCAGGAGTCAACCTGCCAAACACGGTCATATATACTTGAAGATGAAATGGTTATTATTTTGTGACAAAAAGAATTCAGGAATCTCATGTTGATACAAATTTATATTTCTCCGTAAACTTCACCTGCGGTTTGTGCATATGGCAAGGTGATTAAGACGTGATCACATTCGTTTGTTCCAACATATAGACCTAATCATTAAAAAATACAAACAGATATCTTAGAAAAGAATATATGCTCTAAAAGCAACACACTAAAATGACCAAGCTTAAAAGAAAACATTAACAAACTTCACAATTAGTGTCCAAGTAAATGCCTTTGAACCCTGTGCCAGCAATGATCCAGATGGTGGTGTGTAACAAGCCTAAACATGACAATCCCGTGGTTCACATCAAGACCAATCCCACATAATTAACAAAACAGGTTACATAAGAAACCAACATCAGTTTGTAATGAGAAAGTCAATGTGATGAGGAGGCCGAATGTCAGCTTAAGGTTCTAGATAATGTTTGGAGGCAATAAATATTACTCACATGTAATAATTCACATTGGATATTCATAGTTCCCTTTGGACACAGTAAAAAAAAGCAGTGAGTAGGTCCTTTCTGAGTCGTACAGACCCTGAAACAAATATATCCAGGAAAGCCCATGCAAGTCTAGAATATGTGGCAAGAAGACTGAAGAAAGCCTCCGGGCTCCTTTTCGTTACACTTTATGAGTAGTTTTTGTGAATAGGTTTTTTTCTGTAAAATATGTTCATTTCAGAGACTAGATGTTAGTCCAGTCCTTTCTAAAAATACTTCGGTTTCTCTATGCTGTTCTTGATTTGCTTCTGTTCATGTGCTTATCCTGAATGTCATATATGGCTTAAGTTCACAACAGCGATACACAGAGAATCTCACCCGAGTGTCTTCTAATATCAAATATATCACCACGAGTTGATAAAGTCACACATTTTTACTTATATCAACGAGTGTTGATATATTTGATATCAGTAGACACGAGGGTGAGATTCTATTTATCATCAAAAAATCACTCTTCTTCAGTTTTCAATGAAAAATGTACATCTGAAGACTGTACTACCATAAGACTTGCAGTGCAGCGATGTCATAGCATTGTGACGTCATGGCATTGTCAGGGCACTGTACAAATTATACTGTCAAAACGATATCTCCTAGGAGATGTAGTTTGACCTCACACAAGCAATATCTCCTGTGGAACACAGTTTTCGATGATAAATTCCTATCACAATAAGCAGGACCTATTGTACACTATTCACTGCAGTCTAGAGTTCATGTATAGGTTTATCTGATGCCTGCATTCAGTTAATAAAGATCTGTAAACACACAAAGGTAGGCAAAGCTGAAGAGGTCATACAGGGCAATTGTGCACAGGGTTCTTACTCTATGCCATACTTGGCTTGTTTAGATTATAAATACATATTTGTACGCAAATAACTAAAACTATTGGGGAAATGGTGATGGTGATGATTTGGAGATTGATGTGCACTTTCCAACAAATGCGCATTTCATACACAGGCCATTCAGTGCTAAATGATGATTTATTTGCTGTATTTAATTGCGCCTCTGTGATGTCTGTACCACCTGCCCAGGGCAAGTCTCTGCATGTTCAACTGACCAAGGCTGGTCATTGTCACACATCAGGTGGATTCAATTAGCAGATCAGCAAACTGTTACCCTGCTGTCTGGCTGACCATTGTCCACTGCCCCTCCTTCCACCCTGTCCCCTGCAAGCTGATACCCCGGGGGAAGTGTACCACACCTCTACCTGGTTACTTAGCAACATTTAGAAATATCTTAAATCATACCAGAAATGTGGATTAATTGTCCCGAATAAACAACTTTAATGTCTTGAGGCTTGGCTAGAGACTTTCAGCATTTCTTGACTGATAGAAAATCTGCAGTTCAAGTTTAACATAAGGTATGATTATATGTTCAGTTATATTTTATCAACAAAATGTTTTGCATTGTTGACTTAGTTATTCAATGAGAGACAGACACTTTCCATTATTTTATTATAGTATTAGCTTTCAGAGGAAAAAGAATAAAGTATTGTATCAACTTTTCAGCAGTAATCCAAGAGTTTTTAAAATGCTATCAATGACATGCACATATTTATAAGATTTACACAGAAATTTGGAATAAAGTGAAATAATGTAGTTACCAATCTTATGTATTTTACAGCTTTATTTGCAGTTGACAAAGTAACACAGTAATATTTCTATTGTTGGGTCAGCATAACCTTAAGCCAGGTGTGATTTTTAACAAGGGAAGATATCATCTTTGAGTCTATGCAACAATGCACTTATGCAAAATGGACAATCTGCATTTAGTGCAAACACAAATGAAAGTCTTTGGTTTAATGTATGTATTGATAGGCATTTTGAACAAGATGAAATCACTGGAAGAACAAGGACAAATGTAAAGTAGACGAGGACCAAGTTTCAGTTTAGTGCTTCATGGTGATGCTGTTGCAAGATGCAGTCAGTTTGGGTTATCTAGATAAACATCAATCCTTTTTTCATATTGTGTATGTTAGGGCCAAGGACGTCTGACCTTGAAACTTGCATGTGAAAATGGAGATGTTAACCTGATGATGACTTTAACTACAATGCTTTGAGAAAATAAGACGAAGAACATCCCTGTGTCTGTTGGCAACAACAGTGACTGTGATCACCATGACGACCACAACAACAATCCTTTATTCTAAACAATAAACATGTGGAGCTGCTGTATCTGTGGTGATGACTTGCTGATGATGAACATCAAAGTGGTCATTAGGTAACTGACCACTGGCCACCTGTACGTCACATTACAATATGATTTACAAGAATCTCCTACCTGTATCTGTATTGGTGGATGTTTCACCTCCAGACGTCGCTTAATGTCCTCCATGTTGTTCCTTGTCCACGTCACAGGGAGTTTTTTTCTCAGCTGTCCTGTGTAATCCTAATTCTTCAATGATGGAGACTGTCAAATAGATGGTATTCAAGATGAAAGTAGCACTTAAACGCAATTCTGATACATTTAAAAGCTCAGACAGTCACCCTGCCAGTACATCAACAGACTCAGATGGTCACCCTGCCAGTACATCTACAGACTCAGATGGTCACCCTGCCAGTACATCTACAGACTGAGATGGTCACACTGCCAGTACATCTACAGACTGAGATGGTCACACTGCCAGTACATCTACAGGCTCAGATGGTCACCCTGCCAGTATATCTACAGGCTCAGATGGTCACCCTGCCAGTACATCTAAAGCTCAGATGGTCACCCTGCCAGTACATCTACAGGCTCAGATGGTCACCCTGCCAGTACATCTACAGGCTCAGATGGTCACCCTGCCAGTACATCTACAGGCTCAGATGGTCACCCTGCCAGTACATCTACAGGCTCAGATGGTCACCCTGCCAGTACATCTACAGGCTCAGATGGTCACCCTGCCAGTACATCTACAGGCTCAGATGGTCACCCTGTCAGTACATCTACAGGCTCAGATGGTCACCCTGCCAGTACATCTACAGGCTCAGATGGTCACCCTGCCAGTACATCTACAGGCTCAGATGGTCACTCTGTCAGTACATCTACAGGCTCAGATGGTCACCCTGCCAGTACATCTACAGGCTCAGATAGTCACCCTGCCAGTACATCTACAGACTCATATGGTCACCCTGCCAGTACATCTACAGGCTCAGATGGTCACCCTGCCAGTACATCTACAGGCTCAGGTGGTCACCCTGCCAGTACATCTACAGGCTCAGATGGTCACCCTGCCAGTACATCTACAGGCTCATATGGTCACCCTGCCAGTACATCTACAGGCTCAGATGGTCACCCTGCCAGTACATCTACAGACTGAGATGGTCACCCTGCCAGTACATCTACAGGCTCAGATGGTCACCCTGCCAGTACATCTACAGGCTCAGATGGTCACCCTGCCAGTACATCTACAGGCTCAGGTGGTCACCCTGCCAGTACATCTACAGGCTCATATGGTCACCCTGCCAGTACATCTACAGGCTCAGATGGTCACCCTGCCAGTACATCTACAGGCTCAGATGGTCACCCTGCCAGTACATCTACAGGCTCAGATGGTCACCCTGCCAGTACATCTACAGACTGAGATGGTCACCCTGCCAGTACATCTACAGGCTCAGATGGTCACCCTGCCAGTACATCTACAGGCTCAGATGGTCACCCTGCCAGTACATCTACAGGCTCAGATGGTCACCCTGCCAGTACATCTACAGGCTCATATGGTCACCCTACCAGTACATCTACAGGCTCAGATGGGCACCCTGCCAGTACATCTACAGACTCAGATGGTCAACCTGCCAGTGAATTTAGCTCAAATAGTCACCCAGTATGTTTGTTTGCTGAGGTGTCCACCCCTGCTAGTACCAATCCTGTCTGAGGTATCTACCTATCCTAGCCAGATATGGTTACACTTTGTTATCGTAAAACAAACTGTTGTTGATCAAAATCTCAGCTTATCGATAAACTCATGAACATATAAGAAAAAAACAACATATACCAATTACCAATATGTGGGCTCAGGAACCAATTACCACAAAACCTAGTTCAAAAGCTAGTAATAGCCTATATGAATGAATTTGGGGTCCCAGATATTTATATGTCTACTTCCTCAACATTTCTATTTGTTCATCTCCTTTTTAAGGTGATTACCAATCCACTACGTCTTCTGTCTTTCTGAGTTCAAACATGCGCACCAATATATTTATAATTCCACCTAATCCTTGGTTGTTCTAGTGAAGAATGTATTGAATTTCAACAACCAGAACAGCGGGAACTCACAGGGCTATTATCATTTTGAGGAATGAATCATATTCACTGATGCCTAACTTACTGGTATTAGTCCCATATATGAGAGGGTTGTGTGGCTCACATATACCTAATCGACTGAGCTTCCCAGTCAACAATAAATCCTTACAATGTGTGGGCACAATGCGGTCCTCACACATCAATCAACACAAATCCTACATTGAAACTAATAGTGAGTGAGTGAGTTGAGTTTATGCCGCACTCAGCAATATTCCAGCTATATGGAGACGGTTGGTAAATAATTGATTCTGGACCAGACAATCCAAGGATCAACAGCATGAGCATCGACTGAGATGCAATGTGTCAACCCATTCAGCGAGCCTGACCACCCGATCCTGTTAGTCGCCTCTTACGACATTGAAACATTGAAAAATAGTTACACTGCTTATGATACTGATTAGTCAGAAACAGCCTTGAGCCAGAAATTGTGAAATTAAAAATCAATTCCCACCATTTTTACCAAAACATGCTAAAACTTTTTCTACATCTGTACATATCTCTATGATATTTTCCCCGTTGACATAAACAATAAATTAATTTTCAAATTAAGACCTTTTATTTCCGTCGCATCTTTGACATAATCATGATAATATTTTGTATTCAGTTTGTGTGATAAACAATTAAACAATTAACCACTAGGTCCCTTCACCATGTTCACCACCCATCCATTCTGAAGAAGCTATAAGAAAATAAGAGCACTTACTTCACTAAAATGTTCTCCAAACGGATTGTCCCAAACATTACTTATATTGTTGAGTTAATTGTTACATAATTGTTGAGACAAAGAATATATTCCCCATTTTTACATGTAGATTTCAATAGATCTATAATATACGCCGTAATTAACTGATAAGTTGAGTTTCGTGTATCAAGTTGGTCAGGGCCAATCACTTCTAGTCAGTTTATTTATTCTCTTTATTCACAGGAACATAGACAATTTATTGTAAAAATGGTCAACAAACAGGATTCGATCACGTCTATGGACGATCAGCTGATGACAAGCGCGCGTGATCCGTACACGTAACTTCGAGACCATGCTTGAACCTGCCCTACGCAATCTGCATATATGCTAATAAAAAGGGAATGGTAACAAGATCGGTGGGGGAAAGTGGGTCAAAAGCGATGCCCGTTAGCTTTGAATTGGTCAGCCACCCACATAAGTAAGTAGGTAAGAGTATGTACCTGTTGTGACATGCGTGGATTTACACGCGGGTTTGTTTTGATATCGAAAGCGGAAGTCACTCTGCGCCGACTGTGGAATCCTGGTTAGTGTTGGATTTTTAGAATAAAACATTTCAAAAATATATTTGTCTAACTATTTTGAAATAGTATCGATACCATATTGTTGATCATATAATATATTTGAGATCTGAATGCTAACGAAAAGATGATATGTTTTCCTTAGTTACCATCAACAACTTTGACCAATCAGCAACTTGTTTGGGGCACCTTCTAACCAATCAGAGCCGAGCCGCTGCTATTTGAAACAAATTCACCCATCGATGGCTACATGTCAAGCAGGAGAGGGAATGTGGCAAGCGAACTATTGAGAAGAAACGATATTTCATGCCTGAATCCAGTCACTGTGCGACATATTCTTGAGAAACATACAACATGGCTTTAACAAGACCAGTATCGGTAATTTTACTGTGGTTGAATATATTTTGTGCATTTAATGGCATATATCATTGGACATTCCGCCGAGGCAGTGCGTGTATCAACCGGCTCAGTGATTTGTTTACACTCGCGCTTGTGAGGTTTGAGGCTATTTATTTTCATAAATCGGTCTTTTCCTTTCCCAGTGTGAATGTAAACGTGTAATGGTATGCAGCGATAGTAGTAATTTTAGTTCTGACGATTTCATTTTGGAAATGTAGACCCTATGACAAGTTTGGTATGGCGACCTAAAGAGCGGAAAACACGTATGGGCTTGTTCATGCAATTTGTGGGAGTTTATATTTGAGGTGTCTACAGTGGACTTTTGCCTAGTTTGGACAGAGAATGCGACAAAACGTAATAAATCGCACCCATTAAATGTGAACTTTACAATTTGCACTTGACATGCTTTGTGTATTTCCAACAATATGAACCTTTGTTCTTCAAACATGATGCAAATGCTTCAAGTCCTAAGACAATGCGGGAAATTATTAACATGTCTACAAAACAACTTAAAATGTACTTCCATCGTTTTTTTATATATAAAGTGCATCTTGGCATAACAAAATTGTGTAAAATGGTTAAATCAATAGTGTTTGATAGAACAGTAACCTGTGTGCATATTATTAGCCTCATTTTTGCAGATATAGTTAGCATAGAGGGGAGGATGAACCCATGTTGCCATGTTGAAGCTTCGATTCAACTAGAAAGTTGATAAACTGTGCAAAGTTTAAATTTACAGAACTTCAACAATGAACTTCAACAATTCTAACCCTACCTCACAAATAACCTAAAGGGCTTTAGTTTTTTATCCAAAAGTTGATCCAGTGTCTCGGGATAAATGAGGGTAAAAACTTTCACACTGCAAGACAACCCTAACAATCAAAGAAATACAGATCTGTGAAGTGGGGGCCACAGCTGGAGAACCTGTCCAATTAGTGGTAATGAGATGCTGGTAGAACTACATTGTTGCCAGTGTGGAATTTTGTCAGTAACATGCCACCCATTTACATGTGTTCATGTTTCCATGTATACCTCAATTTTAACAGTCCAACTGTACCACATCATAAAACAATACATTCAACATTCATATTGACCTGTAATGAACCAAAACCCTGTTATCAGATCAGTCTTTTTCCATTGTCTTGTCTATTTACCTTGTCAATAACATTAATTAGTATATTAATTTGCTTCTCTTCTTTCCTCCTTACCCCTCCCCCCTTCAATATTTTTATACAATATGAAGCCTTTTCAGTAGTTTAATGTTGGTAAAAACATAAGATTACCATCTTTTGATAGCATTCAAAATGGCTAAACATGATTTATTGGTATTTCAGGCCAACATTGAAGGCAGCTTGAAGCTGGCACCATCGAGGGAGAACACAGATGCCATCATTGCCAGTAAGACAATGACAAGGGCGGCACATCGAGCAGCGCTAGGTGACATTGGAAACAAAGTTTCCAAGATGACCATCGATGCCAGTAAGAAGCCAGTCAAGAAGGAAATCATTCAAGCAGCCAAAGGAAGGACGTTGCAGAAAAATAAAGCAACATCATCATTGAAATCAGCAGACATTGAAATTTACAGGGTAAATTAATGCTTTAAACTTTTTCTAGTACTTTTCTATTTTCATAAAATTCTTTTCCTAATTTGAAGGAAATATCTGTAGGTATTGTCAATTCAGGGTTAATTGTTTACCTTATAAAGTTATACACATTGCCTTTTCCCAAAGTTTTCTACCAGTCATGTAGTTTACTCATAGGAACATGTAACCCATATCATATTTCTGAAAATGTATTCTTAAATTTCAATTTAGCTTATGCCTTGATTATTCTTTAGGACAAGGAACCTGCTGTGATCGTGGAAGTCCTTCCAACATTTAAGACTGAGCCCACACTGCCAGAATGCGAGCCTGTGTTATCTGCTCCTGCCCCTATGGACATTAGTGACGATAAGCCAGATGCCTTCAGTCGAGCACTACTTACAGTGGAAGACATTGATGCCAATGATAGGGATAACCCACAACTAGTCAGTGAATATGTCAACGATATCTACTCCTACATGAGAATATTGGAGGTAAGTCTACACTTTCATTTTTTTACCTATATTTAACTGAAGCTTGTCACATTAGCAGTGAAATGACTTGTTGGAGATGTAATGGTTAAAGGTAACCAACTTATTTGATGTTTTTAGTAATTTGAAGTTGCAGTATTTACTTTCGACGTTTTAGTAACATTTTCCTTCCGTTACAGGCTAAACATTTTGTAAAACGAAACTATTTGGAAGGAAGAGAAGTTACTGGCAAGATGCGAGCTATACTGATTGACTGGTTGTGCCAAGTTCACCATCGCTTCCACTTACTGCAGGAAACCTTGTACCTCACTGTATCCATCATAGACAGGTACCTTCAGGTGAGCCAGAAAATTGTCCTTTTGTTTTTATATTTCACAAACTCCTGTTGCACCTCCAGCAAGCATGTCTCATAACTCATGAGTTGCCATATTAAACTAGCAGTCATATCGCATGATAATCTCAGTTGTCATGCTTGCTGTTTTGACCAGTCTATTCTGCTGAACTTATATTTCATTGATAGACTTGAATACAACATGATTTTGAGTTGACTTTATCTTCCACCCACCCTTTCCTCAAAATCTTGTGACTTGGCATGTGACAATTTCTCTGTATATGTTTTAGGGGGTTGTCCCACTAATTATACATGTCATTCTCCTTCCCAATCCTAAATGTCTTGATATTTTTTCATCAGGTGAAGCAAGTGAGCAAGAACAAACTTCAGCTGGTCGGAGTCACGGCAATGTTAGTAGCTTCCAAGTACGAGGAGATGTATGCACCAGAGGTGGCTGACTTTGTTTACATCACAGACAATGCTTATTCCAAAGCAGATATCAGGGACATGGAGCGAGATATCCTCCGCTCACTAGAATTCAGTTTTGGAAAGCCCCTCTGTCTCCACTTCCTCAGACGAAACTCCAAAGCAGGCCAGGTAATACTTGCAGCTTCAGTACCAAGTCAGAATCTTTATATAAAATCTTGATAGTTAGTTATTGATCTCAAGTATTCAAAGAATTTTCTTTATAATGCAAGTGATTGTGTACTTTCCAATGTGAATGTCATTGCTCTTTATGTCCTTTCAAAACTTTCAGAACAGAATGTTACTTTTTATTATACTTTGACTGCTTTAACTTTATTTTGTGTCGGTAACATTCCCAGCAGAAGAGCAATTTGTGGCTTTAAGTTCATGTTAAAACCTGAAAGTTAATGAAGTAATTTGCTCATGCCTGGAAATGTTAATGGAATTTGTTGCAAGGTCATGAAAAATATTTTTTGTGACGCTGGTATATCCTGGAAAAGCATGTGAACCCTGTAGTTAATGTCCTAGACATTAACAATGTCATGTTTACATCTGTTTCCTTGCCTAGGTTGATGCCATGAAGCACACACTGGCCAAATACTTGATGGAGCTGACAATCGTAGAATATGACATGGTGCAATATCTTCCATCCCAAATAGCTGCAGCTGCCTTGTGCCTTTCTATGAAAGTTCTTGACAGTTCTCAGTGGGTAAGTGTTCACTGCTCCCATACATGTCTAGCCCAATACAAGAACTGTTGGGTCATTTCATTATATGGCGGCTTTTCTAAACCCATGAAGATAAGGGTTATAATTCGTCTACAGCAACCCATGTTTGTCGTAAGCAGCGATTAATAAGGCTGTAACGATTCCTCGCGTATTCAGTGAATCTAACCATAGCCCTTCATGAATTCAATTCGTTATTCGTGGTCACCAGAAACGAATATTTACTCTTTTTTTTTTAAGGAGCACGTTTAACTTGAACCCTCATGTCCTTTCCAAAGTGAGATATGCAAGAATGGAACATGTACTAGCATTGCAGTAGTGCAAGTCGTGTTAGTTTGCCAAGACTGCACATGGTACTGTCAACTAACGATAACATACCAAATTTGAGTGTCATGAGATCACTGGTTATTGCTGGGACAAATCAAAACTGTCAACATGGGCGTTCCATATTGTACATCAATCTCTTACAGGGCTCCAGATAAGGGTCAGTTTCGGCGTATGTACGGATATAAAATAAGTGCGATACGGTAGGAAACAATTTAGAAAACGTAGCAGATACGCACCACAGCAGTGGTGTACGGTCTTAGAATCATTTACAGACGTATTTATCTGAAAATGTATTGTTTTATTGATTATTGCAATGTTGTGGTGCATATATGAAACGAAATACAAGATTACTGATACTCCTTTAAATCCCATTCAGTCCTCTCAATGTACTCTTAGGGTTTTCCAGTACTCCTGTATTTAAAAAAAATTATCTGATGTTGAATTATGTCTTAGCCCTGTCTTAATATTGTATTTGTGAATAATTATTCATATTCGTTACCCAATATTCATTAGGGGTGGGTATTGCAGGGAATTTTCGTATTGCGACGCGAAAGCATGTATTGCGATATGTATTGCAATATATTGCAAGAATTATTTTTAACAAAAACAAATACTTATAATCGAGTTAATGCTTGATTTGTCAAGCAAAAACACAACAAAATCACAATGCTTGATTAGGCTTTCAGAAAACTTTTAATCATGGCTAAATGTAAATAATGTTTGGCACAAATGAAACCAGGAAAGGAACAATTTAAAAAACGGAAATATCCGAAGATTTCCGAGTGTCAAATACCGGTTTTCGATCAGCATATCGCAATACGTATCGTTTCCATGTCTGAACCGGTTATATTGCGCAGCCCTAATATTCATGATACGTATCATATTCGCCACATAGTGTATTCGTTGCAGCCCTATCGACTAATGGGATCAGGTGGTCAGTGACTTGGCTGACATGTCATCGTATCCCAATTATGTAGATCACTGGATTGATCACTGGATTGTCCAGACGGTTATATACAGACCATTGACATATAGCTACAATTTTGCCGAGTTCAGCATTTAATAAATGTAAAAATCTCTTCTCAGAAATTTTGGGATCTTGTGGAATATTTCAGTGATATTGACTGGAAATTGTAATTACTCATAATTTATTTCAGAATGACACCTTATCCCACTACAGCACGTATTCAGAGAAAGATCTCCTTCCAATCCAGCAGAAATTGGCTCACTTGGTTGTGAAAGCTGAAAACAGTAAATTGACAGTGAGTACATGCCATCTGTTCAGTTCCTGTCAGTTTAACACTAAACCAAGTGATTGTCCAGTTGGCATTGCTCTTGTGCAACCTATGCTTTTCATTTGAAGTAACAATGGTTATCGGGAGAGGGTAACTAAAATTGTCTGATCAGGTTCGCTCTTGGTTGCCTCGTTGTAGATATATACAGATATCAAACTGTTTCACTCTTGAATGATTTGCATTGTTTAGCAATTTAGAATACATTTGTGTAAATATTACTAGAACTTGAAGTGATATTTTTTAAATGAGACTGGTGTTGATGACAATTTGCTTTTCATTTGTAGGCTGTGAGGACGAAATACTCAAGTTCCAAGTTCATGAAAATTAGTACAGCAGCAGAACTCAAATCCCCAGCGCGCTTCTTGAATTGGCAGCAGCGGCTACGTCCAGTTAACACTGTCTCTGTACCTCAAGCGGGCTGTGATCATAGGGACAAGACTATTTTAATCATGTATCAATTGACCGGATTCTTAGGACATTGGAATGTGGATTATAAGGCACTGTGAAAAAGTTCTGTGAATTCCTGTGGATTATGGAAATGTTGCCATGTCTTTCAGCTGTGGATTTACACAAGACGGTGAACTATTGTCAGCTCTTTTGTTTCAGATGAATTCTCTTTTGCAAAGCTAATGCATGCTCTAATCATGATGCTTTTAAACTTGATTTGTCCATCTATATAAAGTGAAATGTTAGAGAAATTGGTTTTAACATGTCTTATTGTATCATGAGTTTCTAAGAACTGCAACATAATTTTCATGTTTTATTAGAAAAGGAACAATCACTGTAGAATTACTTTTAACAGTTTTTAGCATTTACAATGTTTTGTTCACAAGTTGAATTATTTGTGCAAAGGTTTCTTGGATCAGTCGCAACTGTAGTCAGATTCATGACTCCTCTGCTCAAATCATCCATATTTTGAACTACTTTAGGATTTTCTACTTCATCACTAAAACGTTTTATCCAAGGTAAAATCAGACACTACGAAGCCACATGTACTTGATTTTATCCACTGCCAATTACTAGAAATGTTCAATCATGACTTTAATTTTAATGTCTTTGGTTAAAGTCTGTGATTTTATCCATATTGACATGTGTATATTTTGTAAATAAACTTTATGGAATAAACTTATTTATTGTGTTACATTACTAAAGATTGTTGAAATGTTTACATATCAGACGGTGGATCTAAAACATTTGCAGTTACATACACCAACTGATTGTACCTGGTTCTTTGGAGGTCTTGTAGCCAACACTTTTTTCACCCACTGGGTTCTGCGGAGATATACACGCCAGTGGTGTGAATACTTAAATCATTCACTTTGCTTGTGTCCCCACGAGATCTGGACTGATAAAACTGGAATGCAGAGACAATGCTTCAGCATAAACCATGACATAGTATTAATGTCTATTTCAACTAGAATTTAAAAAAAAAAATATGCAAAAAGACCATCATACTCGTCGGGTTTCATGAATATTTTTGGGTTGAAAGTGAAGACCCATAAGTTTCACATGAAGAGTTGTTAGTATCCTATGTCCCAAGTTGAAGTTTGGATTTCTTAAATGCACAATATTTGCAAAAAAGATGTCCAGAAAACATTTCAATGTTTAGGAACGCAATGGTCTAGTTTGTTGGGTTTTTGGTTTTTTGCACATGCGAAATGTATGCATTTTTCCCCTTGTACATCTGAACCTGCCACATTATCTCGAAATGCACCAACATTTAACATTAAAGTGATGGGGAAAGGTGGGTTTCATTACCTTATCTGAAGAGGCATGGTCACTGGAATGCTGAAGGTTAGGACAACCTCGACTGAAGGGGTGGTGCACTTTGGACCGCCTTTTTTTTAAACCTATGTGAAACATTTCCTTCCCCAAAATTGTTACAGGGCCACTGAGTCTCTTAGTGCTCTATAAATTTATGAATATTATCACAGATATAAGTGGCAAGGCATCGACAGATGGGGGATTTCAGGACCAGCAGAGATGCTTTGAAAATCATGCTTTTCAAAAGAAGTGATTAATGGTATTGGGTGCCCCAGACTCGTTGATGTGTTTGCATATCATTGTATCCAATTGCAAAGGAATATGCTCACGATGTTGATCACTACCAGCCATTCAAAGATCTATGCCCCGTTCTGCAACATCTGAATTTGGCCCAACTGCACCTTTCTTTTGCGACCTCAGCAGAGGCAACAATGTCTTCTTGAATTGAGGTTCAATCTGTCAATGTCTCGCATGGATGGCTGTATGTCATTGCCAACAGTACAGTAACTGTTGTGACTTACAGGCCGACCAGAGGACAGGGATGATGATGTAGGTGGCTTGTTATAATCACAGCAGACCGCCTCCGTGAGAGCGGAAGGTCGCGGGTTCGATCCCGTCTGTGTCCTACCAATAGACGTTATAACATGGTACTTGTTGGTCCCTGTCTGGAGCTCGGCATTAATGGGTACAAGGACTGGTCGGCTTAACTGCGGCTTGGTATCTCGGTGGCCTGGCACTATAAAACCAACTTAAGTTTGGGCTAGTACAAGCAGCCACACATACACATCATATGAGCGAAATATTCTAAGTGCGACATTACACCCCATTTCACCCCACCTATTATCACAGCATCGTTCTGCATGTGTTTCGTCAGTGTCTGCTGTCGTGATGATTTTCTTTGTAATCTTCCTGATTACGTTTGTTTAACAGATCTCTCGTCTCCACATGGTACAGATCTGGAGCTGCACTTTCACCAATCAAGGCCTATTTGCCATCAACTCTTTTCTGTTAATCATTTCTTGACTTTAAATTGTATGGTCTTAACGTTATCCAGATTTTAAGTTGCATATATTTTGCGGTTGAAAATAATGACTGTTTGGGGAGAACGTGTCATGAAAGACAGAGTGATAATGCTATACTATTCACACTTTGATAAGGATCAAATCATTGATTCAACAGATGATGTGGGGTCTACTTTGGTTTAAATATCTAAGCTTATTGTAAGCATGGATCTTTTTAGGTTTCAGTATGTCACTGCATCTTGTGGATACCATACCTGCTATTGACAGGTGTTGTGTACTTGTCAATGACTGGTTCCATGATTTGCAAAATGGTTGATTGGTGCCATGAAAACCAGTTGGGGGGTTGGGGGTTACTCATGTATCAAGTGCATAAGGTTAGATTAAAGTGGCTGTTTGCCTAAAGAGGGGTTACCATATCATTATTTATCTAGTTTGAAATGGATACAATTTCAAATACCAACATCATACCTTGTATATCCTGTGATTAGATGGAATGTGTGTTGCCTAACATCCAAATTCACTGTTGTTCTGCATGCACAATATGTTAATGACTATAGAAAGTCTGAAGCCATATCATGGTTTCTTTCATGTTTTATAACCTCAAGCTTTACGAAAACCATTTTGGTACCTTTGTTTGGTGTAAGTGAAATAGCACCACTTAATGTTCTTTTCACAAACAAATCATTGTTAGATATCTATCTTATTCATCTGGGAGACAACGGGTGGAACTTTCGATAAGTACACATAAATTTGAAAATGCATCAAAAACTAAATTTTGGGTGGAAGATGAAAAAAATGAAACTAATATCGCATAATTCCTTGTATTTCATAAACGTTTATATACTCACACGCAAAAGAAACGCAAATTTCTTACTCAAAGGAGGAATTAAACTCAGACCCCTAAAATGATAACAACGTTGGTAAATAATGATGGTTGATGGTGTGTTGCGTTTTGCAAAGCCAGTGTGGGAACAGAAGAAACACACACAGTATGTTTATCTCCTAAATGGACATCTGCACAAGTTAACTTCCTTAATACTTATGTGATATGAGGTGAATGTCATTGTGATGGGGAAATGACAAATAACAGAATAAATAAATAACTGACAAATAACAGAAATAAATTCTTTTTGTCCTTCAACTACTTTAACTAGAAGAGTCCACTTTTAGATCATAGGGGTGCCACTAGTTAACCATTGCGTAATCAACAGTCAACAGACCATGAAATGTTGTTTCAGACTGTAGGCGAATTGGGATGTAGGCGAAATGAGAACATGCCCTTAGAACATCAACTGTTCCAATCAAAACACACGCCGTCCGAAAAGATATCCAATCAAACCTTATAGAACAGATACCGTCCTAATGTGTTCATTTTATCAAATGTAAAGGAACACTATGCGTTCTGATAGTCTACTTTAGAAGTTGTTTATTCAGTTATTTATCAATTGTAAACCATATACAACCAGATTTTACCCAGTTATTTAGAACATTTTGAGGAATAATTTTCCTCTTGCAAAATACATGTTTTTATTCTCCTTCTGGGAAGAATAGGTTAAAGTAAAAATACAGAAATTGTTATCAATTTCTTTAAAACCTTTTTGTAAATGTCCGCTTGTATAATTTTCAACATTGTCTTAAAATATCTTAACAGGTTAATGATTATGTTAAAAGTATTTTATTCATTTCACTTACGAAATCATAGTCTTCTAATTACACATTGTGTTCTGAAATTAGAACACCTACCTTACAGACTTTGAACACGTGTTCTAAAACAGAACATGCCTGTTCTTAATATGGCCTATGTGTTCCAGTTCAGAACATGCACGGACGCGTCCACTGTTATGCTTGAACACTTGCGGTTTAGAGAACAGGCCCTCGTGTCTTTGCGAGGATTAAAGATTTTGAAAAAATAAAAAGAATTGAGACGACCCTTGACTCGAAATGCTTCACACTACAATACATTATGACATTTGATATTTTAAAGAAAAAACCAAAATGATAAATTCCATGAGAAAGTAAAAGTTTTTTGGTAAAAGAACAACGCTAAATAAGATCTACACTGTTTTTATTCGTCCTCATTTTGAATATGCGTGTGAATTATGGGATGGATGTACTCTTCTTGGAGTTTACGGAAAGGGGCGAGTGGTGACGAATGCGGCACGGCATCCCAGTGATACCGTTGCTTACTCTTCCGATATTATCGATGCTACTAAGCGGGTTCAGTCTCGTGAACTATCACTCAACATGCACTTTATGATGTTGGTCCTCCTTTGTGTTAGTCCTTTCCTTTTTCCTTTTATTTCATGCTGTTGATCACTGGATTGTCTGGTTCAGACTCGATTATTGACAGACCGCCGCCATATAGCTGAAATATTGTTGAATGCGGAGTTAAACAGGCAACCAACTACAAGGTAGATCACAGTTGACAGGATGTGACTGTGAAATGGTGTTCATGTGACCTGCCAGACCAAAACAGATACTTCAATGACGCAGGGTTGTTTCTGAAATAAAGTTGACAACATTCACTCACTTCGTTTGCTGTATAGTAGCAGGTACAAGTTTAGGGAGAAAAGCAGAGGAAAACTCAGGAAACGGTACTCTTGGGGTTCTGTCAATTGAATGCAAGTTAAATTACAAAACAGCATTTGCTTCTGAGTGGGTTGGCCACTAAAAAGCCCCAAAAGACATCCATGCTCAACCCTGGACCCAAACTTAGTACCCGTCTCTCACATCCATGTTAACGACGCGCATAGCAAGCCCTGAATTGGAACAGCTTACCTGGACCCTAGCTCCAAATACCGTCAATTTCAATACATAAATGTTACCGGAAGCATGGTCAGTTAGATCATGATGTCTGCATGATTCTCTAACTCCTCCCTTGGTCTTCTATGCTGTTCTTTTCTTTTGAACAATGATTCGGCATGGCAAAAAAAAAACCCATAGCAAACGACAATTTGGTTATCATCAATGGGTTGGTTTCTGGTCAAAGGGAGACAATCGTATTTCTTTGTTCAGGAGTTAACTTACCTTAACTGCGCACAATGTAATTTTTGAACACTTCACACACCCCTCACCAGCAAAGGGAGTTAACCACGTTCAACAATTCACAGGTTATGTCCCTTGTACTAAAGAGAGCGAAATGTGTTTCGCAAATGGTAAAACGGGTTTGCAGTTATTTCCCCTTGACCATCAACGGCACGGCATCATTGAGTGATACCATTGCTTACTCTTCCGATATTATCAATGTCACTAAGCTGGTTCAGTCACGTGAACTATCACTCAACATGCACTTTATGATGTTGGTCCTCCTTTGTGTTTGTCCTTTCCTTTTAGAAGAAATCGTCGCACACGAACAGATGGGTATTTTGTGGTCAAAGGGAAGTAATCCATGGTATATGCTTTGTACATGAGTTAACTCCCTTGTCTGCTCCACACAGTGCCTTATTTAGAACTCCACACAGTGCCATCAATCAAAGGGAGTTAACTGCGTGCAACAAATCAAGAGTTACGTCCCTTATCATAAAGGGAGATAAGTCTGTTTAGTAAACTAATTCAACAGGATTTACAGTTACTTCCCTTTGACCATCAACGGCACGGCATCCCATTGAGTGATACCAGTGCTTACTCTTCCGATATTATCGATGCTACTAAGCTGGTTCAGTCACGTGAACTATCACTCAACATGCACTTTATGATGTTGGTCCTCCTTTGTGTTTGTCCTTTCCTTTTAGAAAAAATCGTCGCACACGAACAGATGGGTATTTTGTGGTCAAAGGGAAGTAATCCATGGTATATGCTTTGTACATGAGTTAACTCCCTTGTCTGCTCCACACAGTGCCTTATTTAGAACTCCTCACAGTGCCATCAATCAAAGGGAGTTAACTGCGTGCAACAAATCAAGAGTTACGTCCCTTATCATAAAGGGAGATAAGTCAGTTTAGTAAACTAATTCAACCGGATTGACAGTTACTTCCCTTTGACCATCAACGGCACGGCATCCCATTGAGTGATACCAGTGCTTACTCTTCCGATATTATCGATGTCACTAAGCTGGTTCAGTCACGTGAACTATCACTCAACATGCACTTTATGATGTTGGTCCTCCTTTGTGTTTGTCCTTTCCTTTTAGAAAAAATCGTCGCACACGAACAGATGGGTATTTTGTGGTCAAAGGGAAGTAATCCATGGTATATGCTTTGTACATGAGTTAACTCCCTTGTCTGCTCCACACAGTGCCTTACCTAGAACTCCACACAGTGCCATCAATCAAAGGGAGTTAACTGCGTGCAACAAATCAAGAGTTACGTCCCTTATCATAAAGGGAGATAAGTCTGGTTAGTAAACTAATTCAACCGGATTTACAGTTACTTCCCTTTGACCATCAACGGCACGGCATCCCATTGAGTGATACCAGTGCTTACTCTTCCGATATTATCGATGCTACTAAGCTGGTTCAGTCACGTGAACTATCACTCAACATGCACTTTATGATGTTGGTCCTCCTTTGTGTTTGTCCTTTCCTTTTAGAAAAAATCGTCGCACACGAACAGATGGGTATTTTGTGGTCAAAGGGAAGTAATCCATGGTATTGCTTTGTACATGAGTTAACTCCCTTGTCTGCTCCACACAGTGCCTTACCTAGAACTCCACACAGTGCCATCAATCAAAGGGAGTTAACTGCGTGCAACAAATCAAGAGTTACGTCCCTTATCAGAAAGGGAGCTAAGTCTGGTTAGTAAACTTATTCAACAGGATTTACAGTTACTTCCCTTTGACCATCAACGGCACGGCCATTCGTGACCCACTCGTGTTATTCTGGGACAAGCCGAATACCGACTCGTGCCCCTCTCGTGTACAGTTACAGTTAGAAGCAGCTCCTGTAGTGATAGGACTTCCAAAATATACTTCTCGTGATCATTTGTATTTTGAAACTGGTTGGGAAACCCTTAGTGAACGTAGAAGAAAAAGAAAACTTTGCTTATTTTATAAGATTCTTCACAATATTGCACCATCATACCTTCAGGAATTACTACCTACATATGTTGGCCAAAAATCATCTTATAACCTTCGCAACTCTTTAAACTTCTCCCTTCCATTTACGAGATTGAAACTTTCCTTATCATCATTTATTCCATCTACTACACGAATGTGGAACAATGTTCCCATAGAAATAAGAAACAGATTCTTTAGCATGTTTTAAATTGAAAATTCAAAGTATAATATATATGAAGCCCCGCCTTTCTTTTGGTCTGGTACAAGGAAATTGAACATTATTCACACAAAACTACATTACAATACAAATCCGCTTAATTACGATTTATTCAGAATTAATTTAAGATCAGATGCATCTTGTACTTGTGGTTGTTCTTGTGAAAATTCATGGCATTATGTTTTATAATGTTCTTTGTATACAACGCAGCGTAAAAAATTGTTTGTAAATATAAATACTGTCGTTAAACTTCGGATACCCATTAGTCTAGATTTATTGTTATTTGGCCATGTTACACTATCACTATATGAAAATGAATTATTATGTGAACATGTACACAGATATATTAAGCTCACTGAAAGATTTTTGTAGTTTTATTCTTGTATATATTATACACATCCTCTTTAAAGACCTTGTAAATTCATTCCACAAGTCCCTGTTGTCAATGTTTTTTATAGTGTAAATATGACATATGTAACTTCTGGGAGAGGGCGTTCCTAAGTTGGATAACTTGTGCCCAATCCATTTCATTTTCGAATAAAATATGTTTAAAACAAAACATTATGACAAGGTCATGATGTATTGTACTGTGAAGCATTTCGAGTCGGGGGTCATCTAAAAAATATAAAAAATTTAATCTTTAATCTTCACAAAGACACGAGGGCCTGTGGTTCAGAGTGCGAGGTTGCAACCCAGCCGTGTGAGGATGGACATGGGCTGTTAGAATGTCAATCGTGAGTCTCAGCATTGAAGAAACGGAATTATCACTGCAGCGTGCTAAATAGTTTCCAAATGTTGCCAGCCAGTCGGGCTAGCCATGCCTGAAAGTTACTAGTCCACACAATAATTCACTATTCCGAAATGTTAATGCAGACACCGGTTTCATCATTAAGCTGCTAGAATGATGACCATTTTTATCGTGTCATAATCTTGCATGACTTAAAAGTGTGTTATAACTTATCAAGTCGGAGAGAGTGATATATTTACAAAATGACCCCATGAAAATTCACTAGCCAGTCGGGCTCAGTGACTGTGGAGATTTACTGGCCCGACTGGATATTTACTTGGCACGGGCGAGCGGGCCAGTGGCTATTTCGCTCACTTTGCCACTGGTCCGACCTTCTGATCTCTGTAGCCCATACCTGTCACATTACCCTGAACAACAACTAACGGGCCTCTCCGACGTGCATTTACCTACCCAAAATCATGACGGAACTAGGGGCGGTGGGGTAGCCCAGTGGTTAAAGCGTTGGCTCGTCACGCCGAAGACCCGGGTTCGATTCCCCACATGGGTACAATGCGTGAAGCCCATTTCTGGTGTCCCCCGCCGTGATATTGCTGGAATATTGCTAAAACGGCGTAAAATTAAACTCACTCACTCATGACGGAACCACCGCTTTCCGGAGTTCTCTCTCCAGAATGTCTGAAGACACGTTGATGTCCTTCTCTGCTGGACTATTTAATCTGGATTCGTCTGAAGAAATACCCCAGTCGTCCACCACAACCGAGGTTGACGGACATGATTTCAGCACCATCTTCAATGACAGATGTATTGATGACGTTACGCCAGAATAGGCCGTTTGGCGAGATGACGTTGCCGTATCCCCTAAGGACGAAAGTGGCTCCTGACTGTGTTTAGGTTGGATACGCCGAAGTCCTGGAATGGTCTGAGCAGTGATCACTGCTGGAAGCTTTGCCGGAGAAGGGTCAGCTTTTGAAAGCAGAAATTGGGATTCATTAAGAAACAGATCCACAAGGAGGGAGCACAGTTGGTGGTCAGGGGGATGCCTACTTCTTGCATCGATGCCTGAATGTTTTACACCCAAATTTTACATAGATATTATCAACGAGGAAGTCAAACATTTTACATTCTTTTCAGAGGAAACTTCAGATGACATTTGCCTTCAATTTTGACAAATTGTACCGAAACTGAAGATAAATATGCAATTATATCTATGCTCACCACGTCATTGACACAAATGCCAAATGGACCAAGGAATGACGTATTCCATTAAATTTGAAGAATCATCATTTGTCAGTTTACACTGTGTCATGAACATGACGGGGCCCTATGTTTCCCCCAACCCTGCTCATGCTGTTGATCACAGGATTGTCTGGTCCAGACTCGATTGTTTACAGAAACAATTAATCCTAAACTTGTAGAGGCCTTGTTCCAACTGTTAAAGTCTGGAGATGTGAATGCTGTGTTATGCTTGCTGGATGGAGACTATTTCGAACCACGTTTGGTATTTTACTGGTTTACAATAAGCATAGAATGTTTCTTGTTGTACAGAAGTTCTTGAGCCAATGAATAGGATATACCACGAAGTGCTGAATGATCGTACAATCTGTTCCCCCATTTTCTTGTCACTGTCCTTTCTAATATGGAGATATGGTTGGAATAATTGCGATTCATGCATGGATATCCATGTACGAAAAGTATAAACATTTAATTAGCTATATGGAATGATTTGATGGGATAGGGAATTCTTATGCCCGTGTACAACGTATGTCGAAGAGCATGTTGAAAACCACTAATTAATATTGTTCCTTTTTTTACCACGTTTTTTATTTGCACAAATATGATGACACCAAATACATACCATTTCCATTTGAAATTTCTTTTTGTTATGACGTTTTAAAACTATATGAACCCTTAAAAGCTTTAATATCTCAATGGTTTGAGACATAGACTGCGTGTTCCAGTTGCATTGGCGTGATCCAAGGCGTGGGGTGGGGTGTCTGTTCAGAAGTTAATGTTTTGCATTGAGCCGGGGGATGGTTAGTAAGGGATTCGGGACCCCTCCTCCCCACCCCCTTGTATCCAGTACAGATGGTTGTCATCCTTATAACTTGTGGGATGGAGTATAATTATTGAAATTCCTTATTCCTGCACATTCTGCTCAACAATCGGAGTCTCATATGACACTATATCTGTTCACGGCGCGAGACTTGTCTTGCTGCTTCACGACCCAAATGGGGATTTCCTTAGCCTCGTTTTAGCTTGTGACGTAGTCCAAAACAAGGAAACACCTCGCGAAGGTCCCTGTCTGCTCACGACAACCCATAGTCCTAGTCTGCATCAACATGTCAATGTTACAGCGACTGTGGGGATCGCATCCTAAAGAAAAGGAAAAACCTGATGAAAAGCAGGTGAGATAGATGTTGCTGTTTTGAGCAACAGTGGACGTTTACGGTTTAGATCTAGTCGAGTTACCTTGAAGACTTTTGCAACACATTGTACCCTCCCCCATTTCCCTGTATATTACAGCAGACGTTTAGATCTAGTCAATTTACCTTGATGACTTCTACAACACATTGTACCCTCGGTAAGAGTTCCGCCCGTAACCCCCGCTTGAAATGTATTCTATTTATTAGGAATATTTCGAGGGTTTAGGATTAGGTTTGGGGTCAGACTTTAGGGTTAGGTTTAAGGTTAGGCTTAGGGTTTAGGGTCAGGTATAAAAAACATAGGCATATATTCTTAGGCATATAATGATTAAACAAATATGGGGGTTACGGGCGGAAATCTTTCCACACATTGTACCCACCCCCATTTCCCTGTATATTATGTGTGTGACACTGTGGTGCTGGCCTTTCACGTGTCTGTTGTTGTCAGGAGTCTGGAAGTGGTGCTGTGATTTACACGGGCAATTTGACATCATCAAAAGCATACAAACATCCTCAGTGTCATCAGTAATTTATTACAATAATTTGAATATAGTAAACAGATCAAATTTAGGAATGCTATAGATATGTCTTGATTCCTTCTCTTCCAGAACCGTCATACATGTGGTCACAAGGAAGATCACTTTTACACTGCACTCAGCAATATCCTAGCAATATTGTTCAGTTCAGTTATCCTTTTAATGTCCTTCCATATGTTTCAGTCTGCAGAGGTGGAGGAGATAACAGATGACCAGCCACACAACCCTTACTCCGAGATCCTCGTATTACACCAACACACTGACATTGTCCGCACATTGCTCAAGATAGATCACAAAAGGTACGTTTCAAATCTTGTGGCATTGTTGGTTATCACCATGTTTGTTGATTTTCAGACTTTCATTAAGCAAGTGATCAGGTGATAAAGTACACTCTTTGCATTACATCACACTGTACGTGTTGACATCATTACGAAATTCTAGTCTGCCCCCCTCGTGATCAAATGTACCCTAGGTAGCTGACAGCATGATGCATGTCAGTTGTCATTGAAAGGGTAAAGTCTCCTACAGTACAACTAACTCCGAAACACCCTGTTTCTTGGTTTGCAGTTGCTTCATTCGTCTAACATCACTGGTGGGAACATTGTGATTAAGTTTTTCGACTGAAACAATTTATCAGCTTGACTCACAATTAAAAGCAACATGGCAATGTTTATTACCTTAGTCTATGTCCACAATCCCACAATGCTAGCATGGAATGTTGCATAACTAGTCAGCTTCACATGGATGTGGGCAGTGGGGTAGCCTAGTTGTTAAAGCGTTTGCTCGTCACGCCAAAGGCCCGGGTTCGATTCTCCACATGGGTTCAATGTTGTGGTCTGGTGGTCACATTTGATTACTGTGTTTTACTGCACAAACGTACATGAATAAAATCGATGATCAAGAAATTATTACACTTATACGACTTATTCGCAATTCGTGCAAAATTATGTACAAAATTTCACACTCGTTTTGTATAAGTTGTATGGCACGCTTGCTTGTGTAACAATTTGTATATAATGAATGTTCGAACTCGGTGAATTGTTTTGTTGGGTATCAATTTACTATGGTAGTGTGGCTTGTTTGTCATGATAGTTTGGTTTGGCTTGTTTGGTTGGTTCATAAAGCTGTGATATTGCTGACTGTGTCTTTATTAGTCCTCTACCTGTATTAGTTCTTCTATTATCTTCCATTGACCTAAAGGATCCATGTGACATCTTTAGTTCTAATATCATGGGAAAAAATGACCATACCAAATGGCATGTTGTGTTTGTTCTATATGCACCCCTGACTTCTTATAGTCCTCCATATATTCTCACACTTATAAAGGATGTTAATCTGCTTATATTCTCTCATTCATTACTGCATGCATTTCCTCTGTGTCAGGTGTGCATCTGCAGGGGATGATGGGAAGGTGATCATATGGGATATACAGGTGAGCTTCATGTGAACTGTCAAATAATATATACTGAACATCATTGAATATGCACAAGTCTAAAATTGTCCATATTTTCATCAAGATGGATTTCAGCATGACTATGATCAATGAATATAACTAACATGAAATCGAAGGGCATGTCCAGTTGAAAAATGCTTTAGAAACAAATTCTTGTCCACAGTATGACTCTTAATTCCAAAATGCATGAACATGCAGCCACGCCATGAAAAAAGTGCAAAATTCATTCTGAAATCATACTGACTGTGACATTAAAAGCAGGTGTATGAGAACCGATTCTCATTGCTTCACTAACGATTGTGAAACGAAGACAGAGATGCCGGGGTTAACACCTCACGAAAGAGAACGTGCACTAGGCATGATTCAGGTTGGCACCAGCAGCAGGCATATTGCTCGACAACTTGGACTTGGCCACTCCACCATCGTTAGGCTTCATAGAGGACATCAGTAGACAGGCAGCACCTGTGACCTTCAATGACCTTGGCAACAACGTGTTACGACGCTCCATCAGGATCGCCATATTGATCTTGTCCATATTAGTGATTGAACACTGCCGACTGCCAGGACTGCTGCACTAGTTCAAGGTTGACGTGGGGGTCATCAGCGCTGACTCCATGCGATGCCGTATACATGCTACAGGGCTCCATGCTCGACGTCCTTACGTTGGATCAATTCTGACTGACAGACACCATAATGAGCGGATACAATGGGCTAGCAGGCATTTTCAGTAAAGGTTACAACAATGGCATGGTGTGGTAGTCACTGACGAGTCACGTCTTCATCTACGTAATGTTGACGGCCGATTCGTGTTTGGCGTAGACGTGGTGAACGTTATGCTGATGACTGTGTGGTTCAGACAGACCTTTGGGTGGTGGGAGTGTCATGGTCTGGGGTGGAATAAATTACAATCACAGGACTGCCTTCATGTCTGTCAAGGGAGAGTTAATGCCCTTTATTACCGTGAGCAGATTCTTCAGAATCACATCGTATCTGTCTTCAATCACCACCAAGATGTCCATACTTTTCAACAGGACAACGCACGGGCACACACAACAAGACTTTCCATGCAGTATCTGGCCCAGCAACACATCCAGGTTATTCATTGGCCATCACAGTCGCCAGATGTATCCCCCATTGAAACTTGTGGGACGAAATTGGTCAAAGTCTTTCGGGCGACAACAGATGCGAAACATCCAGGAACTTGAGGCTGCACTACTGCAGAAGTGGAATGCCATCCTCAAGAACTCTATTCGGACGCTTGTTGACTCAATGAGGAGACGTTGAACTTTGAAATTGACTTTTCGATTTGACCCCACGTGTGTTTGATCCTTTCTGACTGTGGAACATTTTAATGAATGAGACGTTGAAATTGACTTTTCGATTTGACCCCACGTGTGTTTGATCCTTTCTGACTGTGGAACATTTCAATGAATGAGCGTCTTTTCTGTTGTTTTTGTCAGTCGTCCTTCTGTTATTATCCACTCAAAAAATATCAATTCCTTACACGTGCTTTTAATAATCTGAACTTTTATAACTGGTGTGTTTTCAATGATGTTCAGTATATATACCATGTATATGGTGCCCAACATGGTTAAAATATTGGCTTTTATTGACTGATCAAAACACTGCATGGAATGGCAGATTTCTATATGCTGACAAAGTGACACAGGTCAACATAATTTTGGTCAGGTTAAGCAAGCATTGCTGTAATAAAAAGTCAAATGTTTATCAATGACACAATATGACATATAAACCTTCAAGAGTTTATTATTTTTCATTTTGTCATTTTGGGATTTTGATCCTATTAAAAAAATACTCATTACATTCCTGATGGTCAGCATAATTTGTAGCTGTTGATTTATTGAAGAACTGACAATTACCATCATTTGACAAGTAACCTCTGGATCATAAACTGACTGGTCAGAGAGATTTTCCAGGAGTATCATGCAGTACCATGTGTGTTTCAGGTCGGCAGGAAGCTTCAAGTCCTAAGCGGCCATTCCCACCGTATCACCTGTATGTTGCTGTTGATGCCTCAAAGAGACTCCTCAGATGATTGGCTGCTTCTGACCGGGTCGTCCGACAAACAGATCAGGGTGAGACAAACATTTATTGTTTTGCATGTTTTTTTAACCCATGTTCCTCATGGCGTCGGCAATACTTTCTTTTGAATTCATTTATGGATTCCACCACCTCTAAAGAACATGAAAAGTGGAAAAGAATAGCACCATTGTTCTTTTGTTTGTCAAATGAAAGTCAAGGTGTTCACCACCAAGATCATTGTTCATACATCTAGTAAACTGTAATGATAGACTTAACAACAAAACAAGTGACTTAACAGTGTACACATATCAACTTATTCAGATAACTGTTTGAAAATGAAAAATGTTGACAAGTGGTCATATAAAATCCGGTTTTCCTGTGGCTTGATAAGCCCTGCTTGTCGTAAGAGGCGACTAATGGGATCGGGTGGTCAGGCTCACTGGCTTGGTTGACACATGTCATTGGTTCCCAATGGCGCAGATCGATGCTCATGCAGACCACCGCCATATAGCTGGAATATTGATGAGTGCGGCGTAAAGCTGAACTCACTCACTCACTCACTGAGATGTAATGTGAGATATGAGGCAAGACACAAGAACAACATGCTAGAATATTCCACAATACTCTCAAAGGCAGATGTATAACAGTTGAAACATTTTTGCACAATGTCTAACGCTGCCTAACATGATGAGAAGGTGTGTTGTTCCTCTTGTGTACTCTATGACCTTTATGACTTGTACCTTCAGGTGTGGGACATTGACACTGGGACCTGTCGACATGTTATCACAGAACATAACAGCTCAATCAAGGTGAGACACAGTCAGCTACCAGTGAACATACGGGTTAGAATTGATCTTCAGTAACCCATGCTTATCGTACGAGGTGACTAACAGGATCGGGTGGTCAGGCTCGCTGACTTGGCTAACACTTGTAATCGTATCGCAGTTATGTAGATCGATGCTCATGCTGTTAGATCGTCTGGTCCTAACTCCATTATTTACAGATTGTGGCCATATTACTGTAATATTATATTAAACAAGAAACAAACAAAGATCCAGGGGTATAGGGTTTATTAACATGCAGTAATAGCAAGAAATTGATGGGGAGATCATGTATGGAGAATGTAGCTGTCTCTATGTGTCTGTGTCCAGTGTCTGGTGACGATGGGGGATGGGGAGATCTTCTGTGGGGGAGGAGAGCACCTGTCTGTGTGGAGGCATGATGGGAAACTCCTGCACATGGTACATCGCAAGGATCAGGAAGGTGAGTCACACTTGCTTTTCACACATGTGTTTGTGTTTTTATGCACATTGTCTGTCAAAACTGTCTGCTATATCAGCATTTAACTACCAGTAATATTGTGCAAAAATAGATAGATTTCTTCAAGATTAAGGATTAAAGTTCAGGGGCGCATACAGCTTTTTGCGAAAGGGGGTGCATGCTCTTGAGAAAGGGAGGGAGCACACTGAATTTTTTACGAGAGTTTCAATGGTCATTTAATAAACTTCCAGGACAAAAGGTGGCGCGTGGGTGGGGTCGGGTGGGGGGGCTATTCTGCACCACCCCTCTGGATCCGCCTGTGAAGTTCCCAACAACCTTGACAAAACTGAATCCTGGAAATAATGCATTCATCACTACTCTTCAATGTTACCCATTAGGAGAATTCCTGGTATGTGAGGTCGCCTAACTGTAATGTTTCAATGCAGTTTGATTCTCCACATGTTCAGTGTGTGAAATTCATCATTGACATTTATTGAATTTCTGGCAAAAGGGTTGCATAACATTGTCATATCAAATTTGCCATATTGATATCATTGTTTATGATATATATTCGTTGTGATCAATGTTTTAAAGAATATGACCACACTCAACTATCCTTGCTCTCAAGTAAAGAAAACAATGAGTAATTACCAAGACAAATTGTATGTATTCAGATATTTCCCTGATGATCGTGGTGAAGACAGATCACATTGTTACAGCTGCCGACAAGCAACTGGGTGAGGACAGGATGTATTATAGCTTGAAACACTTATACCAAATCTCGCTAAGGATCTAGGTTTGGTCTTCACCAACCCAGGGTAGTTGTAATGTGACCAACAGGATTTAATGATCAGGCTTGCTGACTTGCTTGACAACTATTACATTTTATTTGTTATATGATAAGATTTGATCCAGAGCTCCAGATAAGATTTAGCTCATGTGGGTACTGTACCCACTGTATTTTTTGAGTGGATATTATGAGTGTTGAGTGGGTATTTCATTTTCCGTTACCCACTGCTTTCAAATATTCAAATATGTGTGTATTTCAGTCATTTTACTCACCTAAGTATATGCCATTGAGTAAGTTTACTAAGCAGGTATGTTCTGCCATATGGCATACCTAATCAAAACCAACTTAAATATAATGGAAATGATTTCATAAAAAATCACTCATCCTATACTGACAGTACAACACTTGTCCTATACTAACAGTACAACTTGATAGCAATCGATGTATTTTTCATTACGCAAGTGATTTTTATAAATATATTCCGTACGCATTTGTTTTAAACTTTCTGCGTATCTAACATTTTAAATGCGTAATTGGTACGCAACAATTATTTTTCAATGCGTAATTCTATGCATATTTTACCCGGATATGCAGCTTATCTGGGCCTCTGTGATCCTTTGTTTAAATGAAACACCGCTGTAATGTCAACCAGTTTTTTGGCTGGTTCAACAAGACACTGTTTCATAGTGGTGACTAGTGTTGGGAATTGGTTAAAATCTCATAATTGATGACTGGTTTATTACAACAGATCAATCATTGAAAAAAAATTGGTTAGCGTCATTAATGCAATTTGTAAATGCACATAAAAATAAGGAAAAAACATGTAGTTCTTTTGGTTTTTTGGCAATATTTCACATCTTTAAGGGATGACTAGTATGTCAGGAACATAAATTTCTTGGAGTCTTTAAGATAAATTCAATCATGACTTGAAACGAACCTGTAGTGCTTATGAAATGTAACAGACAAAACCAACCTTGTGAAAAATATTGTTTATGAAAACAAGTGTTCCAAAACATGATCGATTGCTTGGTCGTTTAGTCACTGCGACCAATCTTCGATTATTTCAAATAATCGGACCACCACTAGTGGTGACCATGTTGTAGTGCTGACTGATTGTGTTGTAGTGGTAAGTATGTTGTAGTGTTAACTTTGTTGTAGTGGTGTACTCTGTGGTGAACCCGATGACTGGCGGGGAGCCGGATGACAAGGAGATCTCCCTGGTGAAGAAGCTGCCATCACACCGAGAGGCCATCCACAGCCTCATCAGCATCTCGGGTATGACAACATGCTGCAGAGTCAGCCTCCCATGTTACATTACACACAAATAGCAGCAGCATTTGTGAGATCATTATTGCTCAATTTACACAGCAATAAATATTGAGGTAGACTTGAAATGTTCAGAGTCCTTGTATATCATTCACAAAATCGTATGTCTGATGAAGTTTTTTTGTCATGTGTAAACAGAGACTTATTAGAGTTAAGTAAACAGGCCATGTTTAAATTCTTAGCTTCTTGACACATTGTTGTGCCAGTAAAATAACTATTTACATATGATTACACAATGCCATTTAGAAAGTGGTCAAATGTAACATATGCTATATTTGGGATTACACCTTCTTAGTAAAGTACAAATTCTAGTACTTTTGGGGTTGAGTCCCATCCGGGATTTGAACCCACACCCTCAGAGTCAGGCACCTCATCGCCAGCACACAAATGGGTTCAAATCCCCCGGATGGGACTCAACCCCAAAAGTACTAGAATTTGTACTTTACTAAGAAGGTGTAATCCCAAATATAGCATATGTTACATTTGACCACTTTCTAAATGGCATTGTGTATTTCATAGCTTTCAGCCGTGGGAGCCGTGCCAATTAACACTTATCAGAGGGGTACACAAAGTCCGCAGTCTAGACTACCAGTTGTCCGACTTCCATTTTTTGTGGAAGTTGCGGTGGCTGAGCGGGTTAGGCGGCTGACTTTGTGTGTTGGCGATTAGGTGCGTGATTCTGAGGGTGTGAGTTCGAATCATGGATGGGACTCAACCCAAAAAGTACTAGAATTTGTACTTTGCTAAGAAAGTGTAATCCCAAATATAGCATATGTTACAACTATTTACACATAGTCATTTGTATCCATCACCAATTTCTTCAATTGACTTGCTAAACCAGAAAATCCTTCCTTTCTCCAAGTGATGTTACGTTTTGTTGTTTTGTTAATATATATCAGGACAAAGTCTTTGAACAGCATTTAGAAGTGATACACATAAAGGTGACAATGTATGGATGTCAGTGTGTGTTCTTCAAAATAATGAAGTTGACATCCATAAACTCTTGCCTGTATACCAGGACAGTTGGTGTGATTGATGTCTCTGGATTCCAGAGTCCTGTTTTGCAAGTGGATCTATTGATGGGACAATTATTTTGTGGACATCACAGAACTTTCTGCCTGCAAAGACCTTCAACACTGTGTCGGAGTATGTGGGAGACAAACATCTCTATCCATACAGCATCCAGAGCATGTTCTGTGTACAGGAGGTCAGAGATCTTTGTTACACTGTCAACTTCCACTGAAAGCTCTGTAACACGAAATGAAAATATGGCAGTATAGTAGAGTTCTTTTCAGGGATGAGAATGTTTTTCTTTGAGAGGCAATTTTAGAAGTTGTAAAGATGAAGAAAAACTAAGTTCTATGGATAGTCAACTTCTTTATTGCAATGAATGTGAGGTTTCTGTGTAGGTACAAACACTGTTATCACTGAAACGTCGCATTCATTGCATTTGCAATAAAGAAGTTGACTATCCATAGAACTTGGCACGTTAGGGGCCTGATCAACTATTATTTATAAGAATATTGCAATGGCATGTTTCACAAAAATGGATCCATGGAAACTTCTCTTCCCCTTTTTTAAAATAATCACTTTTGCATTTGAACAGTGGCTTAAATATATGACAAAGGCTGAAATGGTAGAATAACTAACAACGACAAGTTCATCACCCACTATCAGATTTGCACCAAATGACTTCACCATACCCATTGTCTTACCTTAGAACAAATCGACTTTGATCAAAGATTTATTCATGTTAAATACAGATAGTACATCTCCACTGAGATCTTTCGATCCATCCTTCCCCTGATTTTGACCTTGCAGAGATACCTGTTTGCTGCAATGGGCTCCGGGTTCTGTATGTTTGATGTGAGCGTTGGTAAGGAGAGAGTTGCTGTGAGGAAGCTGGCTGCCCACTTCTCCAAGATTCTGCATATTGGATTGGCTTGTGATGGGTAAGTTGGATAAACATAAAGTGGCTAGGCATAAACTTAAATAGATGGTTGCTTATATAAATGTTCATAGGGGATTCACCAGTACATTATTGCCTAAGGACATTCTGCAGCCTGACATGTGTTTCTCTCATGATGAAAGCAGGAACCAAAAACGCTGTTTAATCCCAACAGTACAGTGTCCAGAATTTGAGTTTTCCAAATTAACTTATGATTAGTATGGAGAATGTATGTATATGGGTAGATTTTGCCATGAGGGGCAGTTTTGTGGTTAACATCTCCACTTGAACCGGTCTCTTTACTGTTTACTGTGTGATATATGGCTTGAATATTACATTCAGTGCACAGTTCCACTAACTCTCCTGGACCCTGTTCCACAAGCGATCTTATTATTACAAGCTTATGTAGGGCCCGGAACATGTACATTTATGGGAAATACAATCATCATTTGAAAACTGACTCGTCCAAATCTGACAATATTTCACTGTATTTCCTTACACATATTGTATGATTTGTTTATGTTGCTAGGGCATTTTTGGTGACATCTTCGGAGGACGGGTCAATTCGTCTGTGGGGCAGAGCACCGGCCAGTGAGGACTATGATTCTGCCCATGATTACCTGAATCTGTTGCTGCCCATGGAAAGGTTCACTGGTCTAAGGTACCACTTTCTGTTATCAACAATGTTTTTATCACTGCCGACATCAGGATTAAAGTTGAATTTTGTAGAGGTCATAAGCACAAATTATTTCTACTTTTCCATTCCTCAGTTAGTTCCCAGCTTCTTATTTAATACTTCCAAATACATGAACCCTCAGTTAACAGATGACATTTGTCAGTTGGATTTTAGAAGTGGTATGGTGTGGATGTGTTTGGCATAGACACCATTATGTGAGTGTTTAGTTTTAAATGTCATCCTCCTGATACAGTGGGGCGGTGGGGTAGCCTAGTGGTTAAAGTGTTCGCTCGTCACGCAGAAGACCCGGGTTCGATTCCCCACCTGCGTACAATGTGGGAAGCCCATTTCTGGTGTCCCCCGCCGTGATATTGCTGGAATATTGCTAAAAGCGGTGTAAAACTCGCTCACTCACTCCTGATACAGATGCAGAATAATGTTACCGGGTAATTGAACTCAAAGGGACCACAAATATTAGTTTGCAAATAATTGCAGTTAATAATACACATTTCAGCTAAAATACACAGCCAGTGGTCAACATGAAAAAGGGTTCTTTATATCCATCAGTTCATAAGCGTGTTCGTTATAAACATAGGTTTTGTCTATCAATGCTACAATATTTCCTCCTTTGTGGGATGGCTGATTACCCTTAAAAGGCTTCCAAGCCCTATACAGAAATTCCAAACTTTGATTTAAATGATGGCTTAATAATTTTGCGATACTTCTTCACATAGCCATTACTTCCTTTCAGTGGAGAACAACTGAAGCAGGTCAACTTTGCTGAACACATACTGGATGTTTCACTACTGGGAGAATGTGTGGCCCACTCAGGGTCTGTCCAGGTATCCATGGTTACACTAGGTCTTTAACTGACACCCTGTAGCATGAACTACTAACAAATAATAACTAAGTGTGTGTCAAGTATATAAAAGTCAAATGACAGGTATACCTTCAGTGTCTGTACCTACTGAATGGAGGCAGTTTTGCAGTATTTTTGGGGTTTACTAGTGAATCATTTTCTGATTGCAGACATTTGTGGACTTTGACCATGAGGGCTTGGTGTCCTGTGGCACAGATGGATTGGTTATTGTCTGGAAGGTGAGGGTTACTTACAATATGTGAGACAGGATAAGTTTAAAAATGTAATATATCACATAGCCCCTTGTTTTAGTTTTGCTTCAAAATCTAGATGGACTGGCCTAAAAGAGTAGATGAATTTATCACATATTTCAACCTAACATGTTTTTAAAAATATTATTTCAGAATGCTGAGCTCCAGAAAGTGAGAAGGAACCAGAAAGTGCGAGAGATTCTCCTGTCAGTAGATGGCATTGTGTGAGGTGATACTGGGGAGAGACGGGGATGTGCAATAATGAACTGTGACCCCCACAGACTCACGGACACCTTGACTGTTGCATGAAGAATTTGCAGAAGTAGACTGTCATTCTGTGTGAAGCATTTCTGTGGACTCTTCATATGTCATGTTGTAAGGGAGAAGGTTTTAGGCTGGAACCTTGACTTGGCAGTCTCACTGTATCCACTGGTCATGTTTTCTCTCATCATGGTGTGACGATCTTGACTGAGTACTCAGATATTCAGGTAAAGCACTGATGACTTATACATTCCACTTGCCGGTAATACTCGTAAAAATGATGTGAATGGTATGAAATAAATATACAAATAACATTTTGTTTTGTGTTGTATTTGGCCGTCAGTGGAACCAAAGGCTTCTAACACTGACCATCACTGGATAGTGATGGCATTTGAATAGTTAGTGTTCTTAGGCATTTGCTCACATACTTTGTTGTTCATATAGCTGCTGTGACAATAAATATGGTGATGAGTAGTCACAAGTTTTCTTAAAAGCTGAAATAATGTTCAGATGTGGAGAAGGATCTGTCATAAATTTCAAATGTAAAGATAGATCCCAATACCTTTAACTGGTTGTAAGTGATAACTGAAAAAAAAAAAAATTAGTACCATATGTGACATTCCAATGAATGAAATAGGGCAACAAGATGGATAATTGTTTTTATAATCCTGGGTGCTGTTGTACAAATCGTTCTAAGCGCTAAGGTGACCATAACTCCATACCTTGACATAGACTTAAGGTTGTCTTAGTGCTAAGGTTGTTTTGTACAACAGCGCCCTGGTTTATAATGTAAGGAATCGGCTAATGCATGTTGCAACCATATAGTAGGAATATTGCTGACTTGTTGAAAACAAGTTTTCACTCACTCTGCTTTCCAAGAATCAATTACAAATCCAGTGTTAGAACCTTTTATTTCACACAGTGATAAGCACACATAATCATTAGTGCATAGAGCAGACAGTCATGCATAACCATCTGTGTAAACACTCATTTAGTGTTAAACTACAGAAAATACAAAATCATAACAAAAAGCTTCACTCTGTTAACAACTGTCTATATACAATTCTTGCCACACTGCGTGATGGAACCCACACCAGCGACATGGATTTTCACAGATTTGTTGGATATTAAATACCAAATCCTGATAAAAGCTGTTGATATGATTAACATAAAGCATTATCATAACACAGTTTAACAATGAACATTTCCTCATATGATAAGTCATAGCAACAGTAAGAAATCACCTTTACCAATATTTCAGATGTTTCGTACATTAATATCAAACTTGCAGAATAGCTCGCCCCCCAAAAAGGGTGAAAGTATCTAAGTCATTTTACATCAAAGGCATGATTTCTTTTGTGATAAATGCAACACAAGAATTAAGATGTCCTCAGTAATGCAGGGAATTGTATGCACAGATCCTCCATGTAACCTGCAACTGCCTGTAGTGTGGTCGCGTGTTCCTGTGTTGACGTGACCAGGACAGTGCCTGTATGAGGGTGTATGTGCATACATACATTGAGAATGCAGGTAACATACAAAACAAGGTACCGGAAAATAGTATTCAAGATGTTGCCAAGATCTAACATAGACTACAAAACAATTTTGAGAGGAATGTTAACGAAGATATGTGTATGTAAATACCGCAGGTGTGTACCTGAAAATTTGTACAGGAATGTGTGTACCAGAAAGTTTGTATGCGTGTATGTGAATATTGTATGTATGTGAACAGTGTACCTGTTCAACTGAATATTGTATGTGTGTACCTGAGTATGTACCTAAAATTTGTATGCATCTTGATATTGTATGCGTGTATATTGCTCACACTAATAACATGAAAGATGTTACATGTCTATACCAAATAATGTCTACCCTGTTTCAGAACATTCAGCTGTGAATGATCAATATAAAAATAAAATGGCTGATATCACCCTGCCTAAAAAAAAGTCTATACCATAGAATGCTTAATCAGATACAACTGGGCTTATTAAGTATCATTCAGCTTTTAGATTGCTAGTTACAAAAGTGTCCAGCAGTTACTTACAGAACAGTGTGCAGATAGGTAAGAATTATTTGGTGGGTATGTTGTAAAACCCTGAACTTTGTGTTGTGGTTTAAGATTTATAGTCAAATCACTATTTTTGTCATTAAGTAATTGTATTGTTTAATGTGGCAGAAGAGGCACTTATTTAATTTGTTATGGGAAGACGACTGGCCATCTGTGGAGATGAATTATGTTGATGAGACGAGATGCTGCCAGACTGGGGGATTTTCACAATATTGGAAGAAGTTTCTTCAATTTGAAACTTGCTGTGACTCTATGGACAAAGGATTCTGAAAAACTGACATAATATTGAATAATGATCACATCTTGATTGAAATCTTATACCCATTTGTTAATGTGTCACTACTTCTTTAAGCCTGAAGATTCTGATGTTGCATCTGTTACTACAAGCAGGTCTACTATTTGATCTACATAAAGTTGTCCTTTTCAGATGACAACAGTAAGACAGCAGGGTCTAGTTGCTACAAGATGGTTAACATAGCTACTCCGCGGCCTGGCAGCATCCAGCAACTTATTTCATTTCACAGTGGCAGTAAGACGTCTAGCCTGAGTACTCGAAGTCACAGAATCCAGGACCACTGATTGGTTCAGCAGGGAAGCCACGTCTGCAGAAAAAACAACATGTTTGTAAACAAAAGTAAATGAAGTGATTAAAACCAGATACACTCGAACTACACAAACAGTTGAGGCTGATTCCTTCGGATCATATTTTACCTTTCCAGTAAAATTTGTTGGGTATATCTGACAACAAAATTCTGCAAAATGACAATCTTTCAATGATGTAACAATTGCGTTGAATGAACAAGTTGCTTCTCGTTTTGACAAGAGTTACCTCCCTTCGGTTGTAGCCCGACTGAGCTGGGCTCTGTCTCTCCATACATTGCTTTTAGCAATATTCCAGCAATACCATGGAGGGGGACACCAGAAATGAACTTCACACATTGTATCCACGTCTGGAATTGAACCTGGGCCTTCGGCGTAATGAGCTAACACTTTAACCACCAGGCTACCCCACTGCCCCAGTTCACTGATGATTTGAAATGTCATACAACTTTCTGATGATTTCCTTCAAGAATATGGGATCGGGTGGTCAGACTCGCTGGCTTGGTTGACACATGTCATCTGTTCCCAAAATGCGCAGATCAATGCTCATGCTGTTGATCACTGGATTGTCTGGTCAAGACTTGATTTTTTACAGACCGCCGCCATATAGCTGGAATACTGCTGAGTGCAGCGTAAAACTAAACTCACTCACTCCTACAAGAATAATCCCAAGAAATTATCAAAGCAGCAGAAACAGCTGTGAAATATTTTGCCACACCAAATGAATACCTAAATTTACATTAACCCAGCTTTAAACCCATCAGTCTTACAACTATATAATACATAAAACATCCCAAGGAATGGAAGTTGTGGGCCTTTAAAATGAGGACAAAATCAAATGTGTCTTGCTTTACTATGATAAATGTGGAGTAAACAGCAACCTTCCAATCCTACATCACGTGTACAAACTGATCATAATATCCCGTACCTGACCATTCGGCATCTGTGTTCTATAAGACGAGGTTCTGCTGCACTGGTGCTGTTCACACCCTGAGGACTCCACAACCTCTCACCAACTGAAGAGGCTCTCGGCCTGAAATTGACGATACATTCTACTGAATCTTAATAACTACATGAAGCCATATAACTTCTTTAAGTGGCATCTAGAAGCTGATATGACGAGGAGGAACACTTTTAGTGATAGACGACTTCATTATTACTGCAATATATGCGACGTTTCTGTGTAGATGCTAACACCATTTTCAAGCAAGTGATGCCTTCAATTTTCAGTAAAACAGAAAGCAGAGGTTAAGCATCATCTCTATAAACCATTGCAAAGAAAAGAAGAAAATAGCCAATACAAACATATTCCTCAACTTTCACTAACTACATACAACTGATAAAAACCAAATTTCCAAACATTGTGTACAAATATAGCAGAGTAATGGTTACAAACAGGACATTAAACAAGCTCAAATTGGCATCAATATAGGTTTAATTGTAACTGTAGATTTGAGCCTGCCATTAACATTAAACATGAATAGTGAAGTGCTCATGACAATTTAATGATCTTACAGATCTGACTTTGTCTTAAAACATATTAAATATGAAAATGTCATGCCCAAAACAACTTTGAAAACTGAACTGAAAAAATACTGACGGTTTCAAAGAAAGGAAATTAAAATTGTTATTTTCATCAGTTACATAGAGAATCTCACCCAAGTGTCTACTGATATCAATTATATCAACACGAGTTGATAAAGTTACAAATATATAATTTTACCTATATCAACGAGTGTTGATATAATTGATATCAGTAAACACGAGGGTGAGATTCTATTTATCATCAAAAATCATTCTTCATTAGTTTTCAATGAAAAATGTATATCTCTACACTGTACTACCATTAGACTTGCAGTGCAGCGATGTCATAGCAATGTGACGTCATCAAGTTCATGACGTCATGGCATTGTCAGGACATTGTACACAATCTACTGTCAAAATCTCCTAGAAGATATCATATGATCTCACACAAGCGAAATCTCCTGTGGAACACAGTTTTTGATGATAACATGAAAATGATATTATATTTGACAGTACAAGAGGTGAAAAGAAATGATGGAAGATGTTTCTTACCAAAGCCTGGAGATGAGGTTTGTGTTATCGACATACTCCCCCCCCACATTGCGGTCTCCCCTCCCATCACCAGTGCCTTCTGTTCAGGGGTACCTGGACACACATACAGAAATGTCTATGAATAATCACAAATTGAGTCTTTTCATGACATTATGAGTAGATTGGCTTTTGTTTAAGATATTATTTTGAAGAGGGCATATATGACAAATCAATTTACTTATTAATAAATATAAAAATACTCAGGAAAAAAGGATGTGTGATTGTAGTTGAGAATAGTTGCTCAGGATAGACAGATGTCTTATGCACTGGCAAATTGTAGCGCACTTTGGGTTGCGCAACAAAGAGAAAATGACCAGTCTTTCCATATGCGAGCGAAGCGAACAAAAGTTGGCAACGTGCTTCCCTCGCTTCGGTTTGCAAAAATATTTTTAATATCAAAATAAAATATCGCCATCATCAAAGGTAGACACCCATTTCCTCACAGGGTTGTGCTCTCAGATTTCCAACCTCTTATTTAATAATTACTCACGTACAATATATTTAATTCAACATATTAAGTGCCACTCGTGGCATGTCAAATTGTTCTTTGCCTCCATTACCCCTGCCAGCTTCCAGTTCAATGGAGTGAAGGAACAGGGGACTTAAATTTAATTTACCCGTTACGCCAGAAGTGTTTTTTGTAGAGTGAATGTTACGAAATTTCTAACAATAAGGACGGCAGGTAAGAAAAATAATCCCCAACAGTTTAACGGTAAAATTATGCAATATGAATTTTGTGTTTGATTTCTGCTTATTCTTGTTCCTTCACTCCGTTGAACCGGAAGCTGGCAGGGGTAATGGAGGCGAAGAACGATTTGACATGCCATGAGTGGCGCTTAAAATGTTGAATTAAATATATTGTACGTGAGTAATTATTAAATATGAAGTTGGAAATCTGAGAACACAACTCTGTGAGGAAATGAGTGTCTACCTTTGATGATGGCAATATTTTATTTTGATATTAAAATATTTTTCGAACCAAAGCGAGGGGAGCACGTTGCTAACTTTTGCTCGCTTCGCTCGCATATGGGAAGACTGGTCATTTTCTCTTTGTTGCGCAACCCTATTTGCCTACAATTTGCCTGTGCTTGATGCACCACATTAATTATCTTGATATTTTTCAACCAATTTGTACACTACTTACTGAGCTTCATAAAGATCTTTCAAGATTGCATGACGAATAAACTTAGACGTTAACTCTATAAACATAAAATTATTGTAATTCGTACAAATACAAATGTTGAAAGCGCTAGCATTGTTTGTTGATTGGTTTGTTGTTAAACACGCACTCAAGCAATATTCAAGCTATTTGGTGGGGGTCTGTAAATAATCAAGTCGGGACCAGACCATTCAGTGACAACAACAAGAGCATCGATCTACGCAAGTGGGATACGATGACATGTCTCAACCAAGTCAGAGAGCCTGGTCAACTGATCCCCTTAGTCAACTCTTACGACAAGCGTGGGTTGCAAGAAATCAATTCTAATTGCTTATCACTGAAACTATGCCTAGGACAAGACTTTTCAGCAAGTGAATGCTATGTAGTACAAGTCAGCACTATTCCAGCCATATCACAAACACCTGTTGACAACAGTATCTGGATCAGTAAAAACAGTGGTTGATGTCATGAGCAACACACCATCAGGTCATGAAGACATGCAGTCAACCAATCCACAGTGTGATCTATTTTAGTCGCCACTGAAGGCAAGCACCGGTTACTGAGAACCAATTATATCCAGGGATCCTAACATGGATTCCATTAACATCTCACTGGTTCTATTGAAGGAATAATGGTAGTGATTCACAATGAATGTAACTAAATCAGAGTACTTTGCTGATAACTCACTGCTAAAATCAGGAGCAGATTTCAAATACTCAAATGAATAATTTCCGTCTAAAATAGGATGGCAACAAATGACAAAGATTCAGGAATTTTGAGAAAAATATTTCCTAGACTATATAACTGAACAATATTAAAACATTTATGTAAATTAGCACATGATTCACATTAGATAGCAATGAATTCTGAATGAGCCCTTTATGCCAAATAAGTGTCAGTTTAACGTTTGTAAGGAGGGATTATAGCGAAGGCAATGATGTCTGTCTTTAATTAACTGAAAATGTCACTATAGATTTAGTATAAGTAGCATTTTATGTATGCTTAAAACATTCCCCTTGTTTTGACACCCAAATTTTGTCAAAATGTGGATTGTGAATGTGTCTGGAACATCTACAGAATAGAATTACTTTACATCCATGGGTTAAGGATTCAGTACAGCCAAGAGCAAGGGTATCAACCTGGTTTCCTGGACTGTTGTTGGTGCCCCACTGACCCAGGTTAGGACAGCACAATGGCTGCCTCTGCTGGGCAAAAATGGCCGACACAACATGTGCTTCCTATTGAATAACTCCTAACATTTTTCATAGCATCTACAAATATTATGTAGCAATTGATGCCTCGTGTTAATTTCAATACAGGTAAGCATTACTCACCATTAACCTGTTTTTGAGACAGAAAGCTGTTGTCACATAGATTAAATGACAACTAATGACACACCCCTCAATACAGTGATATGAGTGTGATTATTTTGTGAAAGCTTGCTGTTTTCACACAGTTGTACACAAAACACATACACTGAAACACCACATCAATATAACAACATATGCATGTATATTTCATAAGATTTGATGACGCAAATTTTGATGATTATTTCCTATTGTCTCCCACTGTGATTTGCAATGCAAATAAATAGAACACCCAGCACATTAAGCGGACCATATCACTTCTTATTTGTGAAAATGATGTTCGATGGTAGGATCAATATCTGGTTCCGACATTTCAGCTCTGGATTCATATGAAACTCAATTTGTGTTCCTATTATATTACAAAATTAATCATCAAAGATTTAGAAATGTGAACAACATAATTTATGAATTAAACCATGTGTTTTTGAAAAATATATGTGCTCAGTGAAAATGTCTGCATTAAAGCATAATGATAAAGAAAAATATATTCAGTATTTTTAATTTGTTTGGTACAATTTCATTATTTCACACACGATAATAATAAAACATTCAACAGTGTTCATAGTGCAGCAAATTCTACAAGGTTCATTTCAAATCACGCCAATGGCATGTTACCTACTGAATACGGAAAATCACAATACACTTAAAATTTAAGAATATTCCCATCTCTCTATTGTCATACCCATAATGACTGTTGTGCTATCATATCTATGGTGTTTTCCTCACCCAAATTACAATGTCTCTGCATATGTATCATTCCAATAATGCACACTTAGGACATGTAAATATTATTTTGATGTGGTTGTTCAATTCTGTTTATTAATGTATACGGTTGCGTGACAATAGCAAGCTGACAAAACCCATATCAATGTTGAAAATGGTGTGTGTGTGTGTGTCATATTTCACATTTCAGCTATGCGACGACATTAAATTAACGTTTTCCTTCATCAAAAGTAAAACTAGGTGTCCTTCTCATGTATACATTGCCACAGTATGGGTGAGAAGACGAACATTGCAGCCATCCCTACTTGGGTTCTCTATAGTAAATATGTCTTGTTTACATTTGCTTGCCTTGGGGAGACTGCCATTGTACACTCATTGCTTGGGTCAGTGTAACGCCAGGGCAGCATATGCAGGGAAGTGCTACACAGTGCTGTAACTCTGACATAGTTACCCAGAGTTACAGCACTGTTTGACAAAATAAAGACTGCATTTATACTGATTTATACATTCAATGTGATTTTTTAATAGGAAAACTACCTTCTTCCTTCCTGGTTAACACACAATGTGCCACGTATGAGTTATTTGGGGCAAGATATAAACATGCTGATTTCTCATTACATTCTAACAAATTAACAGTAATCTGATATAACAACTAAAAAATCCTCAAATGTTGTAAATGATAACAACCATAAAAATATAATTAAAAAACACAGTTAGCTTGTTTGTGTTTTCTCTTACATTAACCAAAAATTCTAAATGAAAAATTATAAACATGTAAAAGTTTAAAGGGTCACATCAGTGACAAGAAGCATAGTTACTTTTAGGGGTCCAAACATACCTTTTTTAAAATAAAGTCCCTAAAAATAAAAGTCAAGTGTCAATAAAATAATGATATGTTTATACACAGGACACCATACTTCCTTGCCAGTCGTGGTGGCATGACTTAAATTATAAAAATAATATACACATTTAACAGAAAATGAAATAAATTTGACCAACTCAAATGATTCAAACCCTTTTTCAGCATCAAACTGTTAATACTTGGCACTCAATCACTCAGGCTCACATGTTAACATGGGCGTGGCCATTTTGAATGCCAGTGCACATAACAGGAAATCCTGATTTGGATGTTAGTTTATGGGCCTAGGACAAGTGAGGATGAACTATTCTTGCAGTCTTGATAGTGTTCAGGAAATCCAGCTCTCAAGTTTAAAGGTTTACATGATGTTTTCTCATTTATTCCACAAAAAACTGAAATGACATAATTGTGATGTTTTAACTTTGATTGGATCATCAAAAGGTATGGGCATGCTTATTTTCAAAAGGTACACGTAAACTATTTGTCTTGTGCCCTTTGGGAATTGGCATTTCCATCCTTGAATATTGGTAAAACACTGAAACATCATAGACATTAACACTGAACATCAGCCACTTGTGGATAAAGAAAGTCATTTTCAAACAACTTAGAGGATGCATGCCAGTGAAGCCAGGCAATGAAGTGCTAGTCATATGCAGCAAGAACTCTGGAAGATGACTGTGCATCAGTACTGCACCTGCACAAGGCAGGCACATTCGGACAGGTTTTCAAACCTGTATCCTTGGCATGAAGAATGATCCACAAGGCCACCTGGCAACCCATGTGAGGTTTACAAACCTGGATCTTTGGCATGAGGAATGATCCACAAGGCCACCCGGCAACCCATATGAGGTTTACAAACCTGGATCTGTAGCATGAGGAATGATCCACAAGGCCACCCGGCAACCCATATGAGGTTTTCAAACCTGGATCCTTGGCATGAGGAATG